GAGGAGAAAAGGGGTGGTAATTGAAATTTGGAACCTAGGACTTTGGGTTCATAAATAGTTTTTTTAAAGATGTTAAAAAATCAAAGCGAAACAAGTTTTTTTAATCTAAAATTTTAAAACCCAAAAAAGATTTAAAAAATATTTCGTTTTTAAAATGATCTTTTTTAGTTTTAAACAAAAAAATGTCCGGTTAAATAAAAAGTCGTAAGTGACTCTTTATCTTTTATATTTGAATTGTTTTTATTAAACCATAAATAATTGTTTTTTCTAAAATTCTTGGAATTGTTTTCGTTTAAAAACTTAACAAAGCAAAATTCAAGAAGCAAATTTAGTTTTAAATAACTTATAACCCAAAATAAATTAAATTAAGATGTTATTAGACGGAATAATTTTTATTCAAAAAGATTATCAATTAGCGATTCTTACAATATACACACAATTTTTCAAATTTACAAATATAAATGTATCTAGTGAAAATTATTGAACCTCATTTTACTTAAAGCCGAGAAAAAAAGCGTTATGAAAAATCGCTTCTGAAATATGTGACTATAAAAATGCAAGACACAACTACAAGTCCTACAAGCAGCTTAGAAAACTAGTTCTGCGCAATTGAAAACTATTTCGTGGATTTTTAACTTGTCAAGTTTTTCCAATACAAGGTTACAGTCTCCTGTTGTCAAGGAGATTAGATAACAGCGGATTCTCTTGAGAGAAAAGGATGAATTTAGTTGCAAAGATGACAATAACCGTTATAATACACGGCACCTTTACAAACTTTGCCTGATCAAGTATGAATTTGAAATGCCTTTTTTTGTATCATAACTGTTTTTTTGGGGGTCTCTGCAAAATTTACTTGTGTACTCCTTGCCTATTAGAAACAAGACGGGTGTATACTTTCCTAAAATATCTTCTCCCCATTTTCATAAAACCATTTTTTCCTCCGGAAGTTATATAAGATTGAAAGGAATTTTTAGACTTTTTATGCTAAATTAGGAAAATTAAATGTTTTTTTTTCTTGGAAAATAGTTGTTGTTTTTTTTTGTTAAAAGTATTAAAAAAGAATGAAAAACGTGCCTTTTTGATGTCCCATTTTATTCTGAAAAATATACACCCCTGAAAAAATAAAGGAGAAATTATGAAAAAACGACGTTATCTCCCACATTTTCGATCAAATTGAGGTTTCAAGAGTAGCGTTATAAATCGGGCATTGTTATTTTCGCATGGAAAGGTCACTAAATAACAGTCCCTTTAAATTTTCTTTATTGTTAAAATCTACATGTTTGTATTTGTGTTTTTTTTTCTCTCATTTAGTTCGCCTTTAGAATAAGATTAATTGATTAATTTATCCTTTATTTTTCTTTATATTTTTACATTTCAGTAAATTTCTATCTTTGGGAATTTAATATTTCTTTAAAATTTTGTAGAAAATGTCTCGGGAATTCCTGGCAGCACCCGCCACCCAGAGCTTATATAAGATAAATTCCTGGCAGCATGCACCCAGAGCTTATATAAGATAAATTCCTGGCAGGATGCACCCAGAGCTTATATAAGATAAATTCCTGGCAGCATGCACCCAGAGCTTATATAAGATAAATTCCTGGCAGCATGCACCCAGAGCTTATATAAGATAAATTCCTGGCAGCATGCACCCAGAGCTTATATAAGATAAATTCCTGGCAGCATGCACCCAGAGCTTATATAAGATAAATTCTCTCATACAAATCTTACAAAACATATAAATCAATTATTAAAAATATTTTTACCAAAACCGAAAGAAAATTAATTAGTACAATAATTGTTTTATCAGGTTAAAGTTATTTTTAAAAAACACACTTTTTTATTAAATTCAAAACTAAAATTTTCACAAAAATGTTGCGTAAATGTTTTTGCATTTTGCTTAAACAGTTTATATATAGAAAGAGTCGGAAAAAGGATTTCTATGCGCAAAAACGTTCTATTCAATTTCAGAAAAGTTTGGCCCAACTATGTTAAAAGTATATTTGAATAATAGTAAAAGTATGTGAATATGTTAACTATAAAATTACTAGGATTTGAGAAAACCACCACTAATGCTGTATTATACACACGGAAAGGTTTTGCGGAATTATGCACAAAATTTCTATTATTCTTCAGAAGCACTGGAAAATAATTTGTTGTTTTTCCAATTCGGTTTTGTTGGTGTAGCTTGCATCAAGATAAATTTTGAATTTTGATAAGTTAGCCATCTACAGATCAAGTTTTGCTTGAAAAATACATCTTCTTGATAAATGTATTTGACAGATCTAATCTAATCATACATGTTTTATAATCATCATTTGCCAATATTATATCACACTGCAGGCTGATCAATCATCATTGATCAATGATCATTGATCAAGGAACCTTTTTATTTGATCAATGATCAATGATCAAATTTTAAAGTACAAAAAAATCCACGAGATTAAGTTGTAAAAATAATAGGATTTTAAAGAAATGAGGTTATATCGAGTGTCAGATCATTTTTACTCATCCTTTCAACGTAATTTTAAACGACCCTCTGTTGAGAGAGTAGTATGTCGGATTACCAATGGAATCTCTAATTTCTCTATAATACTGGACGATTATTTTTTTCAAGTTTAAAAACAAGATTTTATTTCCAGCATTTTGTCTGATAAAAGGATTCCAAACTAAATGGATATTGAAAATGTTAAATCTGTAGCGGAAAGGTTCGTTTGTCCTATTTTTAATTTATACATATAAAAAATAACAAGGATTTAGTCTTATTTACTATATACCACGCGGTCTAAACCACTTGATATGTTTTGCAGATTATAGTGACAACCAGTAAACTCTGAAATATAAAGACTACTTATAAATCAAGTTATAACTTTAAGAAGTCCAATGACCATGATACATAGCAATAGTGTAGTGTAAACCGACCCATCTCACTAAAATAGCGATACACTTTAGTATTACTATAATGTCGTCTTCATTTTCAATGGTTTTCTGGTAATCACTGTATGTATAAAGAGATAATCTCTAGTTCACCCTTAGCAAGCATTCGGTACTTGCTGTAGTGATCTGCAGTACTCGGACCAAAAACTTAGTTTCAGTGAAGAGTGCTTTGGTCAATTTTATTAAAAATTTCATTTTGGAAACTGGGCAGAAGTACAGGAATGTTCTTATACAAAGCTGGATATCCAAGCTAGGTACATATGTGTAAGCTTGAAATGTAGATAATATCTGTTTCTTTGTATATTCGATTATAACTCTTCTTCTTCTCAATACTTTATTAAACAAACAGAAACTTATAAATTTATAAAATTATAAAGTGGCTTGTTCACCCTCTATATTTTTAGATAAGATAACAAACGTGATTATTAAATATTCCATGAAAGAAGAACGAGAGATAAAACTTTAAGAAATCAGCAAAAATTATGGATTTATGAATTTACAAAGTGGCTTGGTCGCCCTTTATATTTTAGCTAAGATAACGAACTTGATGATTATATATCCAATGAAAGAGAAACGAAAGAAAAACTTTAAGAAATCATCAAAAATCATGGATAAGGGGATAAATGCATAAATGCTTTGAGCTAAAATGCATTTTAGCTCCGATCATAACTAAATAACCCCTTAGCCGGTTTGCCTAAAATTTGTATAGGGAACACGGTAGAACCACGACAATGTTCTCAGCTTGGTTTTCAAATTCTTGTTGAGTGTGTAGATTTTTATACGGAAAAATGTAGATTTTAGTCGGACATGATTAAATTTTTTGACGTCCATTTTGCCTTTTATTAAGGAGCACCATTAAACTTAGACGGTCAACATTTTACACTTCCTTTTTAAATTTTTGAAAATTTTGAAAATCCACGAAATTTTTTGTGAAAATCCGCGAATTATTTTTGTTTTATTTTACGATGTACACAGAGAGAACATGTTCACAATTAATTTAGAAGATGGGCGCGAAGCGCCCTCTAAGGCTAGTATATTAAATGTTTGAACATACCTATATCAAATGCGTTGTACATTGTTTAACCCTATAAAGGCTGGGGGGGGGCTGAATCTATGTATACCCTGGGGGGCATTTGGGCCCCCCCTAGAAAAGGGACTTAGAGAATAGGTATTGGGTTAAAATGCATGTTCATAGCCCAATTTCTCCAGGCCAGCTCAAAGAAAAAATTAGACTTATAACTTCAACAGTTTGGGTGATATGGAGGGTTGAAACAAATGCCTAAAAAAGGATGAAAAGATAAAAATATTTTTTTTGTTTTAAACAAATATCATAGTGTCACACATGTTTCTACATGCATTCATTCTACATACATTCAAGGTCTTTTCAAAAATATAGATCTGTAGCTTTTGTCAAAAAAAGTTGTGGGCTATTTTAG